AAGTGTTAGAGGCTGATGATGTGGCTGGAGTCCCGTGAGGGACACACCAAGTCTCCTGCCAGGTGCTAGAAGCTGCGTGTCTCAGCACCACCGCAGGGCAGTGAGCTGCCTTCCTCTTACTCGAGGCTTGTGCATGAGGTAGGGCTGGTGGCCCCCACCCTTGGGCACTCAGCACAAGTCGGCAGTTGTCACTGATGCTTTGCCATGGGGTTGCTCTCTGAGGAGCCTGTGGCTTGCCCAGAGACCTCAGTCCTGTGTTACGGGTGTCGCTGGGAAACCGTAATTCCCTTTCCCGCTGCAGCCTATTTTCTCCCTCCCTCCTATTGAGACCTGTCCTGCTGTCTGTGTCCTCTTCCTCATTCCGTGGTGCCCTTTTCCTCCAGCTGAGCCCACTTCTCTTGCTTAATACCCCTTATTCATCTCATTCCCCAGCTCCAAGCACTGATGTGTCCCCTGGGATTTCCCCATTTTTCCCCCTTCTGCTGGCTCTCTTTGGCGCTCTGCTATTGTTTCCTTTTTTTCCCTGGTACTTGCTGGGGCAGTTGGTTTCCACCCAAACCCTTTTCCCTCTTGGGGGAAACTGTCTTGGGTCCCGCAGCCCGAGCAGCCCTCCCCCAGGAGCACAAAGAACAATCCCTGTGGCGACCAGTGCTACCAGTGGCAGATTAAAGGCTGATCCCAAAGGCTTGCGGTGGGTTTATAAACACAAAGGGGCTTTAATGCAGCCGGGCTTGGGAGGGATCAGTACCCCCATGGGCAACGCACGGGGTGATGTCCTGGGCTGAAAGGACATGGGTGCTGCGTGGGGGGTGGGGATTTGGGTGGAGAAACCAGGGCTGTGCTGGCAGAGTTTGGGCTGGGATGGCAAAGCCCTCCTGTAGAGAGAGAGGCTCCTCCTGTGGTTTGGCAGAAGGATGCTCGGGTTGTGTGCCTGCTGCCCAGACCCGGTGCCTGTGCCATGCTCGCCACAGTCTGGCCTGGGGAGCTGGCTGTGGGCAGGGTGAGCATCATGGCACAGCCCAGGTACCGTGATCAGGTTATTGCTTTCAAGGGACATGGTGCTTGGAGGTGTTTTGTAGGCTGGGACCTGGCTGCTGTGGCTGGTCCCTGCTTTGGGACCTGCACTCTGTGCATCTCTGTGTGTCCTAGTACCTCCTGGCTCACGGAGCATCAGGAATAACGCCCCGCTTTCCCTCTTCTCTGGGTG